CTTTTGACATGCCAACATTATTGTCAGATTTAAATTGTTTTAATATACATACATACCATACTCACATTCGTGAGATCATCCAAATAATCCAAATGGAAATTTAAATCATGGATTCTAATGAATTAATCTTTAATCACCTCATATATTGCAATACAGTAATTTAACTTGTATAATAAGCAGTGGGCAGCTACTATAGGATTCTGATGCATTGCTCAAGGGAAGTTGGTTGGCAGCCTATAGGCCTACGCAGGAGGTGAACTAAAGTGACTTAAACACTCCGTTGGTCCATTCTGGGACTTGAACCGGCGACCAATAATCAGTCCCCAGAGTAGGCTACTACCAAAATGTTTCTGCCTGCGACGTTTTATGTTAAAACTATCTGAAACTTTCATCGATTAGGTCTCAATAAACCCAGACACCTTCTAGGCCTACCACAAGACAGAGTCGGACCTGTTTTTATTTTGCAGCCCCCCCCCCCAGAGATCCCCCCATGCAGCAGTTTAGGGACAATGGCACTAAACTGATCGTTTAGTTATATGACAGAGCATATAAGGGCCGGCCCGCTGGTCTCTTTATCGGGGATCTGTGTCATGTGCTCCGGCCTCGAGCTCTTTATCTGCGGGCTTTGAAGATGCGCCCCGATGCTTCAGATTATAACAGCGTCACACTGCGCCCATTTCCTCCGCTCTGCTCTGTCTGTCCAGGAGAGATTCAGGGACTGTATTTTAATTCCTGCTGTCCAAGAGCACTGGGTGAAGGCAATTATCCATCACATTATCCCATGTTTTGTGCTGTTTGCAAGCCGGGAATGTTTACAGTAGGCTACATATTACCATTGTAAATATGAAACGTTTTCTGAAATCGTGTTACATATTTCAAATTAGGCATTCTTTTAGATTTAATTATTTGTACTACCTTGGATGTGTGCATTTTTATTTTTGTATTTTATTAAAGGTAGGGTATGTACGTTTGAGAAACCGGCTCGAGATTGCTAGAATTTGAAAATACACGACCGGAGAAAATCTGCCACTTCCTTAAAGAGCCCCTCCTCCAACACACACGAACGTGCACATGACCAATGAGGGCACGAGATAAATGTGTGCACAGATGGAAGGCTGACATCCAGTTAGTTTAGCCGGGCCGGCTAAAATGATTGGTCGTGCTTTTTACAGTGCTACGGCTTCCACAGATGACATTTTTTAATGGATTTGTTGTCAAAGCACTTTAGATATTCATTGCTATCGGGATGTTAAGAGCATTCCATGGAATATAACAAGTGTATCCCGAGCTGGTTTCTCAAATGTACCTACCCTACATGTAATGTTTGCTTGCCTCTTTATTAAACATGTTCCTCTATTAATATCATGTGTCTTTGGAATCCCCAATGCTTTTTATAAGTTTGATTTACCTCTTGTACTTTTATCAGTAGTTGTATTAGCTTATTTGGTTGTGTAGAATAACCCCTGTCTGCTTTAAATATCAAACTAGTGGATTCTAATTTACAATGCACATGAAATTAACATTTTTGGGGAGGAACACATTTTACGTATCGTGTCCTTTAAAAAAAAGTTATCTGTTATGGTGCATCTTGAATGGCATGGTCAGAGCTTTTTTATATCTAAAATCGAATAGCTTTCAGATAAATTGAGAAAAAAGTATAGTATTTTCTTCGCCTTGTGAAACAGATGTATAAATAAGCATGAACTCAAAATCTTCAGGTAAAGTGCATGTAGTCGTATCATCATTGAAGGTAATGTGCACAGGTGCAATACTGCTGCAGGTCAAATACATGCTTGATTATGTTCATACTGTTGCATTTCTTCTGTTGCCTTTGCCAGTAGGCAGAAACAGAGGTGTGGACTCACTTTTGTTCAGAATTTTGAATTGGAAGTCCAAAGAGAGTAACAGATCACATGTAACAGGATTAATCAGGGTGCAAAAAAATGTAACTGCATTTATTCCCCCTACAGTAACAAAAAAAAAAAGGAAATCAGATTACTGGTACATTTTTAAAATGTGAGGATTACTAGCAGGATTACAATGTTAGTAAAAACTAAAAGAGCATATTGTTTGTTGTAAAAGGATCAGATGTTCTCTTTTCTCTGTAAACCGCGCTGTTCAGCTAATACTTTAAGTGTGAATCTATAAGGCAGCTTTTCCTATTAATAAAATCATTTCTGATTCTAAAATGACTTGGTTTCTTCTTTTCTAAGGTTACATTGTTCTGTTGTTTTACATAATACACTTACATTTTCTTTTTTACAGGTAACTAGTTATTGTAACATAATTGTTTTAAAGTAACCCACCCTACCCTGCTCATCGCCCAAATATCAAAGTAATTAAAAAAGTTTGCCCCAAACCAATGAATCTGCTTTAATTTCCCTAATTATCGATAGCCATCCCAAGCAAGTCAACAAGGAATTTCCCAGATACGACTTGCTAGAACCAATCAACGGCATCCAAACATGTTGCAAGACCAAACCTTGAAGAACTCATGATGCATTACTGAGAGGCATCTACAAATACTTTGCAGTGGTGAGAAGACAAATAAGGACAGGATTAAAAACATACAGGTTGAAATTGGCGAAGAGAGCATCAGGACTTTTTTCTCAAAGACTTGGGCCTTCGTACTTGAGTGCAATTACAAAATGTGTCTTGTGACTTGAAAAACAATGACTTGGTCCCATAGGCAGCACTACTCCTCCTATATCACGAAGAAGCCTGTTTTCAGTTATGTTATTGGAGTTTTATAAAAGTTTGTTCCAAGGAGGTTTCATAATTTGAACGCAATATCACAGGAACAGTATGACAAAGCAGTGTACATGTCTATTTAGAAAAAATTAAAATAATTGTCTTGTTCTGCTTCTTGGAGTTGTCCCTTTCATGTAGTGTGTTCTATAGGTTTGTGTGCATGTAAACGGTCTGCAAAGGATAAAGTCCCTGTGACAGAGACAGAGGGTGAAAAGAGGTGCTGCAGCACAGGCATTATGAGAAAAATAAAGAGCTCTTTGAACATTAAAGCAAGGAGACATGTCATAGAGGCACTAAGTAATAAAGGTATTAACCTGAAATGAGCAAAATAGGGCCCCTTTAAAACTTTACAAATCCTTTACATCTAATGTGCAAGGCATAGGAGAGAGGCATTGAGAAAGCAAAGCCAAAAGGCAAAATCAAACTTAATGTTAACAAGGGTCCTTGTCATCAGATGTTGAATTCTGGCTTAAAATATGAAGTGACTATCTCACCAAAACAAATCCTCGAGGCATAATTTAGAGGAGGAAATGCCAGAAATATCAATATGAAGTCATTCTATCATGGATATCGTCTGACAATAATACGCTTTGGCAACAAAGGGCATATCAAATGTCCTTTATTTGGCTAAATTAACAAGAGAGCAGGCAGAAACATATAAAAATAGACTGAACATCATTCCTCCCATTACATTCTGCACATAGGTTTCTCTGTATGGTATACCATACTGTCAAACACATAGCTTCTGCCCTTTACGGTGACTTTCAAATGCAAATATTTCACATTGTGCTCAGATTCATTTATCAATATACATCTTATATAATAAATGATTTGTAAACAAACTATGCATCATAGGTTAAGCAAAAAATAAATGATCAATAAACCGTTAATTACATTTAACACAATATTAAGAGTAGTTTTACAAATAAGATGAATGTGAGCAACATCAAATTGATTTTATTTTTAACCCCCCTCCCATTCTGTCCCCTTTATGTCTCTGCTGGAAAAACACATTCCCAGAACTGATACATATATAAAGTCACATTTAGGAATATGCAACTCAAAGGTTCAATTTAAACATAGACAAGAAGTGGACTTCAGGGTCCTTACGGTCATTACAAACCTGGAAAAGTCATGGAAATTCAAAATGCTAATTCCAGGACCTGGAAAAGTCATGGAAATGTAACTAAAGTTGCATCAAATATAATTTATATTTTATCTAATCGCTGAAATAGTAATACTAAAATGATAATAAATACTGTATCGTATAGTAATGAAACGTAGAATGGCATTTAACTGACGAGGTGTTTCGCTGGTGAGAGATTGTAGTTGCTTTAGCCTGTAGGAGCTAGTAAGCCTACTATTGGATTTGTTTTAGATAGGCACAACATGTTGCAGACCTTATTTTCCTGTTCCATGTTCAAATAAAACATTTTCAGTGGTACCGCTGAGAGAGTAATTCTTTTGGTCATGGAAAATTAGGTAAAGGTCATGGAGAAGTCATGGAAAAGTAATTGAAAATCATTGGTGAAAAAGTGTATGAACCCTGGGACTTGTTTGTCTATCGGTTTAGGAAGTGTCATTTTGAAGTCTTTTGGCTGTTACCATGCTTTTTAAGCAACCATCATGTTACAATGAACTTGAATAAACTGAAAACACAATCAAAAGGGTTAAGGTTATCTGATGAAGAAGAACCAAAACACCCAAACCAGACAACACCTGTTACTCAAAAGGTAGCCCCACCCTAAAGCTATATATTTGACTCTTCTCTATTTTATCCTAAATTAGATCATACAAAATTAACATCATGCAGCTAGAAAGCTAGCCATGAAGACCATCCACAAATGACAACGAGGTAAGAAATATAGAGAAGTGGAGTCATATTGTCATAGACTTCTATTCAATCAGACTCTTTTTGCAATACAGTCTTGCCTTCTTTCCAGGAACAATGCAGGTGAAAAGCACAAAGGTGAAACGCACTGTCAAGCCATAGGAAGAGTCAGGGGATTTTGAATTATTCTCAAGGGACTGTTGATATTTGCACAGCATTTCATAGACATCTATCAAATAGTTGAGACATTTTAGTCTGGACCAAAGTGTCTTCTTGGGTCAGTTGATTATTTCATTTAGTGGTGCATATTCCTAAACAAAGTTACAATTGATATTATAACCATGATACACAGTGAGGCTGAGGTTTTTGGGGGCCCGTGGTCTCAGGCGTGGTGCCTTCTTTGCACATGTTGGTATTCTAGCCTCCATGTTGGACATGCAGTTTGCAATGCTGCCATGCTCTGTGTATGAAGCCTTTAAAGCTAAACAAAAAAAAAAAACAGGGTCATTTCACAAATGATTAAAAAAGTACAATATATTAGCTGAGAAAGAAAAAAAATGCTGGAATCAGAAGCAAAAACTTTTCTAAAGGTTTACATGTGTAGTCTTACAAATAAAATTGTCTCAACTGATATATTGACTTATCACAAAGCCAAGTTGTATACTCGATTCTGATTCAATTGGGACATACCAGAGGTGGTTCATTCTCGCTAACAGACCATTGCTAAGGAGAATCAAGGGAGATACTATGTGCACATTGTGCAGTCAAATCACTCCGCAGAAATCATCTGTGGACAACCAACATTCATTTTCTCCATCAGAGAAACACCATGGAACACTTATTGAATATTCATTTTTTATATTTGTGGAGAGCACAACACTTTGGATTCATGATGGCTGAACTGTCCCCAGTGAAGAAAAATAAAAAGAGCGCAAGAGACCTGGACGTCAGAGAATTCAACAGACAGGAAGTAAACACTAACGGGAACAGCAGAAGAAGACAGACAGGAAGTAATCACTAAAGAGAACTTCTCAAAAAACAGACATGGATGATCATTTTTAAATCAAGAAAACCATTTAAAATCAAAATTGCTGGTCAAGTCATTGGTTTATTAAGTGTGTTGCTGTGTAATACTTTTTCATGAATGACTGCTCCGCTGCACATTATCCCTTACTTAAGTTAAGGTTCTTTTGACAGATAGTGTATATGACAGCAGTTTCTAAGTCCACAAGGTTCTGCTGCCAGGACAACAGAGGCCTCTGAGGGTCGGGGCCCGGGCTTGGGGCCTCAGTCAGGAGGTGTTGACCTGGTGCCTGGCAATGGTCCTGGGGCAGGGCTCATTGGAAGGTGGCCTTCACCCTCCTCAGCGTTTTCTGGATCCTCCGCGCTTGTCGCTCGCTGGACTGCTGGAAGTCGGCGTCGTTGTCGGCGGCCAAGAGGTGGAGGTCAGAGGTGGAGAGGCGGGCCCTGCGGCTCCGAAGGTAGGCTTGCAGGTCCAGGTCCGGGCTGTAGGGGTACACCGCCTCCTGGAAGGCGTGGACCTGGCTCACAACCTTAGCTATGCTCCTTCAGCCAAGGACGGGTGGATGAAGAGGGAATAAAGAACAGAAACATGAAATGGGATTTTATCTAGGTGCAAATTACACTCAAGTTTCCCTCCTGGCAGCATCATCTGCTTTCTCTGTGACCTGATTTGGAGCCAAACCTTGGTCCACAGGAGCCAGCTGTGTTCCTGCCCCCCCCTGCTCGGACCCCCTGACCCCAGCATCTGGCTGCAGCCCATCTCCTCTCAGCATCTGGACCCAAACCTCTTTTCCAATCAAACCCCATCCCACGGGCGCCATCTGGTGCAACACTGGCACCCCTACCAACAACTCCAATCCAACAGCTGTGCCATTACCATCCATCCGCCACTTGTTGTGACCTCAGCATCTGGTCGGCCATATTGGATTGAAGGAGAAGGACACAGGAAAATGTGTCCTCATACAGTGAGCTGGCCGACTTAGAGAGAGATGGATTTTTGGAACGTGGGAAGAGAGCTACCTTTCCAGTTAACTGTTAATATAGTGCATCACTGAGAGGTACTGTATATCAGGATTAATGTGGAGCAGATGATTTAAAACGAAATGTTTTACATGGCTGTTTGATGAGAGGTTAATTTGTATTCTCTGTGTCAGTATTACAGTTGTATACTGTAAACACTTTTGTTATCAGCCTAATCAGAGGGACTACAGTGCAAATGCTGTGTGTAAATGTGTCCATTTATATTAGTTTATAAAGCGACTTTGAGTCCTACAAAAGCGCTATAAATATATAATGTATTCAATAGTATTATATTATATGTATTATATGTCCATATATGTGTTTTCCAATTTAACAGAATGTAGTCAGGCTTGCAGTAACAAGATGACTTAATCAGGGTACCAAACTGTATTCCCTTAAGAGTGACAGTAAAAAAAAGTGTAATCAGATTACTGGTACATTTAAAAAAAGAAAAGGGAGATTGCCAGTAGAATCACAATGTTACAATACATCTTAAATAAAGCTCAATATATTATAGATAGACGTCCTGTCTGAATTTTATTTTTGGTTTTTATTTAGGCTAATTTCAATCTTCTTTATTTTAGTAAGTATTTTAGTAAGTACAATTAATTTTCTTTGATTTAATTGTATAAACCACTGATAACATTTCTCTGTGTAGGAATTCAACAGACACTGGAATGGAATGGCTGCCATACATGTGGGGATTGAGATTTAAAAACAATTTGGTGTGGTCTCTTATTTTCCAGAGCTGTATCTTTGAAAGTAGTTGAACACCTGATTTAGTAGGGCCAATAGCAGATGTGCTCAAGAGGCTGATCGCCCTCACCTGAGCTTGGTCCACTTGAAGGCCCCAGTAGTGAGGGTGAAGGCACCGATCTCCTGCTGCTGCACGTGCATGGCCAGGATGTGCGCTGACGGCAGGGTGGGCCTCCTCCTTGTGTGCTCCCCCACCATCAGACACAGGTCGTCGCTCTTCAGGAACATCTGAGGACAGAGACATTTATCTGCACAGTCAATATATGGAGATAGATTTATCCCAATATCATTTGTCTGAACAGATCAACAATCCCTGTGTAAGTGTGGGTTCAGCTGAGTCGCTCCGCTCTCTGCCGGCTGCAGTGTGACTGGTCGCTTGGTGCAGGGCCGTAGCTAAGTATTTGAGGAGCCTAAGATAATATTTAAAATTATTCCCTTTTAGTCAATCTATTGTTTTCTTCAATGCTTTGAGAAGCTTGTGTACATAGATGAGAGCAGCGCTACGTCACTTCCTGGTGGAATTAAGGCCTGTCCACTTTCCGGTGAAAACAAGGCATCTGGGCCAAGCGGTAAACAATAGTTTCTTCACGCCTAAAAGCTGCTGTGTTGTATATTGCACCTCAAACAACAAACAAATCGATTTATTGACTTCCTCTACAGAAAAAGGAAAGTAATCGAAACAATGTAATTCAGAAATCCTAGTTTAAGTGTTGGTCTGCAATAGGGGATCGATGTCCTCTATTGATTTAAATTAAACCATTAATCGAAGCCGATCAGCGGTCTCCAATAACATTTTCTAATAGTTTGCCTGTCCGACCATCATAATTGGGGTTCTTGTAGATAAAAAAGGCGTCGTATTATAAAATGTTTTAAAAAAAACTGCAGAATCTGTATTAACCATCAGTCAAATGACAGCAAGTGTTTTCAGCAAAAAAGGGGCGTGGCCTTGTGTAGAGGGAAAGTACCCAGATGACTTGCTCTCATCTATAGTGGCAAACACAAAGTTACACTCTATAGTGAGGGGCCAATATTTTACTATTTACTTCACTACATTTAGTCCTTTAGTTTACGTTCTGATCCTTTGAGCTTTTACCTCTCCTCGCTGCCCTCTCTTCCCAAGCCGAGGCAAACGGCCTTGGGAGAGCTTTTTATCTTTCCAGTATGATAAGACAGACCCTTTCTCTTTGCTTGGGCTTCAACCACAGCTGTGTCTAGATATGACTATAAAACAATGTTTTCCTCAGACAATAACAGGACAGTTTGACTCGCACGGGACAGAACTGGCAAAGATGATTTTGCCCATAGGAGTGGTTAAAGGGGCTCCTTTTCAGGTTCATATCAGTATTTACTGCCTCTACTGTGACATGTCTCCATGCTTTCATGCCTGTACTGCAGTACCTCTTTTCACCCTCTGTCTGAAACCAGACTTTGATTGGTTAGCTGACCGGCTCTGTTGTGATTGGTCAGCCGCTTAGAGATGTAACACTCGCGCTTATATTGGCTAGCGCTCCAACATTGTATGTGATAAGAGTTTAAGGGGCGGGACATCTCCAAGCAGTTGACCAATCATATCAGAGCCAGCCAGCTAACCAATCACAAAAGACTGGGATCTGGTTTCAGACAGAGGGTGAAAAGAGGTGCTGCAGCACAGGCAGTATGAGAACAATATAGGGCTTTTTGAACATCAAAGCATGGAGACATGTCCCAGAAGAGGCACAAAAAAATAATATGAAAAAATATGAACCTGAAAATGAGCAGAATATATATTCATATCAAATCTGAGTTCTTCCTCCACCACTGGTAGTTTGATGCATCAGGTTCTGTTGGGGCTAACTTTCAGCAGCAGAGCAGCTGTAGGAGGAGCTTTTTTTCTATTGATTTGTTTGCCCTGCAGCCAAGTTTCACAATATGTGACCAGCCTAGCCTTCAGTTACAAACAACATATGTGTGTGCTTGCCGAAACACACCTGCACAGCTCGTAGCTCCTCCAGGATCTCACACACCTTGGAAGACAGATGTTTCCAAGCCTGTTGGCAAGAGAGGAGAAAGTTTTATTTCTAAAAGAAACACTTATTATAAGCTGGATTCAACACAACACATGAGTCAATGAATGTAACCCATGGAAATATGGAAATGTCTTATATATATTCTCAACACTGGTGCCTTTTGTGTGTGTATATTACACCTATTCAACGTTCCTCCTCGCTGCGCTCACACTTTCTACATCTAATTTGAATGCATTAATGCAAATTTCTCATTTGTGAAAGTAATTAAAATCCACCCAATTCTATCACGGCAGAAGAAAAACATTGAGCTGCAGGGCATGTGACTTATTGCAGCGACGCAGAGTTCTGGTGAGGAGGGATTTATGAGAAGCAGCCTTACTGGTAATTGCCTGACAATCACGTTCTCCACACCTCCGAGGACCTGCATGGCTGTGGCGAAGTTCCTCGACTCGTAGCAGTGTTTTCCTATCCACAGGAACTTGGTGAGTAGAGCCACCTGTGTCTGCAAGAGAGGAGAGCTGCGATAAAACGACTAAACAAGGCAAAATACAACAGTAGTGTGCCGAAAGACTAACTAACGTAGGACAAGAAATGGGACCTAAATGGGTGTCTCAGAAAATACATTGGGAACAATCAAGTTCAGAGTGGTGCAGGGATAACGTATTTTTTGGCTGACATTGTTAGCATTGCAAGGGCTCCCTCTACTGAAAGCAATACAATAAGATCTGTGGCAAACACACATTTATGACACTTATAGCTTTGCTTCAGCAGGATCATTTTTAACATATTAAAACCACTTTTATAAATCAGCAGAAGTAAAAAGCTAACGTTAGGCTAACTACATCTCTGGGTGTTCTCGAGTAAAGTTGCTCCAGAGCCACTATTTCAAGCATACTACGTCATCGAGTGCCGCCGAAGTCCAATGTCCAGCATACTTGGAATTCTACAGAGCCCGGCATACTCATGGGCGTACTTCGTTTGGAGAAATGTTGAGGCTGCACATGTGTAAACTCCGCGGTATTAAAATCCCCACAATGCTTTGCGCACGGACCAATTTCCCCAAATCTGTGGCGGAAAATGTAAGGCGGGGCCTCTCATATGACGCACACCTGCACACTTGCTCGCCTGTTCCATTCTTCATTTTCCGAGGCTAGGAAGTATTCTTGCCTCTCTTCTGAAGCAAGATGCTCGTGCTACCAAGCAAGCGTACTCAACATTGAGAAACACCCTGAGCCTCCGTTCTACTGTTTTGTTTATGGTCAGGGTCAGGGTTAGGGTAACCGTGCCGATTGTCGACTCAGCAAAATGGCATGTGACCTTTTCTAAACCTGGCATTTTTTTGTCTTGTCACTTAAGGTCTACCCACTCCCCCTCTGCTGCTTTTACTTCAATCAGCCTATAAACAATATAATCTTCAAGGAGAAGTCTGGTCATGTTCAACATCAAAGCTTTACATAAGCCTAAGAGCATCCAACCGGACAACAAAATCCCTTACCACTAAACTGTATAGTGTGGTGACACGTTATTGGACATAATTCACCTCTCGTATTGTGTTGCCACACGGGCCATTTAGTAGGGAACACCTGTAGCTTCAGCTGCCATTCCTGCTAGCGCATCAAGCAGAGCAGTCATGTGTTAACCTCTCTGTTATTAATGGCTAATAAAGATTGGAACTCCATTCTGAATTCACCGCCTCCGACTCCCTTTTCACGGCACTACACTGGTGACCCTGACATTTCCGAGAAAGTTTCCGGGAAATTAACGAGCATGGCTGACATGTGGAGGCGCACTTCGCCTGCCGACAGGTCCGTGACGGGGACCTGAGATACATAGTGGCAGCGCTGGGAAGCTCCGCATCGTCCAGGATGGTGGGATTTATCGCAGCCCCCCGCACCATGGCAAATATGAGGCGATTAAGGCCCTTCTCCTTAAGACATTTAGCTTATCTGCTAAGGAGAGGGCCCGCCAGATACTTGACATTCAAGGCCGAGGAGACAGCAAGCCATCTCAGCTAATGGAGAAAATGCTAAATCTGCTAGGGGGGGAGATCCCCGGATTTTATTCACGGAGATTTTCCTGCGTCACTTACCTCCCCGGGTCCAGACGGCGCTGGCCAACACGCCTGTCACGGAGCCCCGTGCTTTGGCTCAGGAAGCGGATTGTTTTTTCCTGGCTACACAACAGCCAGGTGCAGAGACGTTAGCCGCGACGCTCAGCGGCCCATCTGCAGTCAAGAAAGCGTGGCGGAGGCCGGACACGGCTGTGTCGAGCCGGCGTGGAGACACCGGAGAGTGCGTTTACCATGCACGTTTCGGGAAAAGGGTGAAGAGATTCATTTCTCCGTGCAGCTACAAACCCCCGGGACACGGAGGGGCCGGCGCTCAGTAGTGGCTCTGAGCGTCGGCTGCACGTGCAGGCTCCTCTTCGTTAGCGACAGCTTTTCGGGGAACCTGTTTCTGTGTGACACGGGCGCTCAACGGAGCGTGGTTCCAGCGTCGAGTGAAGACGTCGCCCGTGGTGGGCACGGACCGCGATTGACGACGGCTAACGGCGGTCCCATTCGCACGTACGGCGTGAGGCCTATGTGTTTGTGCATCGGAGGACAGCGTTTCAGCTGGGATTTCGTGACAGCGGACATTTCTTTTCCCCTCCTCGGAGCGGATTTTTTGTGTGCTCATGGACTCTTGGTGGACGTTAAGAATAGGCGTTTGGTTGATGCCTTAACGTTTTCTTCCCTCGTGTGCACACTTGGCAGCGCAGCGTACGACGGGCTGTCGGGCTCGCTGTCGGGGGAAGACACGTTTCTCAGACTGTTGGCCGAGTTTCCGGACCTGTCGCTACCCACCTTCTCTGCGCTTACCACTAAGCATGGCGTGGAACACCACGTCACTAGCGGGGGGCCTCCTGTCTAAGCCAGGGCCCGGCGGTTGAACCCTTCTAAGCTGGCTGTAGCGAGGGCGGAGTTCGCAACCATGGAGCGCCTGGGCATTGTCCGCCACTCCGACAGTCCTTGGGCTTCCCCCCTGCACGTCGTCCCCAAGCCGAACGACGGGTTCCGCCCGTGCGGGGATTACCGCCGACTCAACGACGCCACTACGCATGACCGCTATCCGGTGCCACACATTCAGGACTTTTCAGCGCATCTGGCCGGTACGGGGGTGTTTTCCAAGGTGGACCTGGTGCGTGGATACCACCAGGTGCCCATGCACCCCCTGGACATTCCCAAGACAGCAGTGATAACGCCTTTTGGACTTTTTGAGTTCCTACGGATGCCTTTTGGACTCAAGAATGCCGCTCAGACGTTCCAGCGCCTGATGGATTCGGTGCTGCGGGACCTGCCGTTTGTGTTTGTCTTACCCTATACATTGCAGTCGTCTCCGACATCGCAGACTAACCAACCTATTACGGACGCTTGTGGCACGTCGAATGTTGAGGTGGTTTAGGTAGGGTGTGCGTCAAGGTGTAGCCTAACGAAGCACGCTCTTAGATTGTTCCTCTGGGACAGACTCTTTTAGGCTGCCCATGTGTTTTGCTGGTGTTGGTGTCATTCGTATACTTGTCGGTCCTTGTTCGCAGACAGTCCGGCTCTGTCATTGCTCGCCATTTGGCTCGTGCCGGCCTACAAACAGAGCACCTCTCTCCATCCTAATTGGACTCTGTCCTATGTGTTGTTCGTTACTTGTGGTTGTTCATGTTGCAAATCATAGAATCTACTAAGTTTGTAAGGAGAGTCTACGTGTGGATTCTAGTCTACTTTGGAGGTTGTCCCCGGAATAGTGCCACGCGTTACGCAGGTATACGCGGCGTAGACTGTTTATGTTGTGTAATTCATATCATATTTATTAGACGTTGCAGGTGTGTACTGGTGTGTTAGGATGATGTAGGGAAAATTACAGGGAAAAGGTGGTGTTGGAGCGGCGATAGGTTTGTTGCATAGTGTTCTTTTTTAGTATTTTGGTCGACCCACACGTATACTACAACAGTTAGAATTTTTTTATTAAAAGTACAGTTTTGTTCAGTGTCAAAGACAGCTCTTTGAACAACGTTATATTCTGATACTTCTTAGCGTTATTTTTTGATGTTTAGTGGTCTCATCATTCACATCACTACAGTATTGACAAAAGCGAGGTGATTCTCTATCGATTCTAGTCGCGGTATATCTTTCTTAGATACATGTACCGCGACCGATTCTATTCTATTGAAATTGTTCTTCGGACACCACGAATGTCATCATGGTCCAGACACTAGACCTATGCGTCGTTACCCAGAACAAAGCAAAAAGTGATCAGGAAGACTACTTTCCTGTTCCTCAACTGCCCTTAGTCAATCGCGCGACTGTTCGGTGCATGAGTCTACGGTCGGGTTCAGGAGTGCAGAAAGAAGTCGGGTACGTCTGCTTGAAGGCCGGTGGGTCGCGTGTCTCCGAATTGCAGGCATCACTTCACTGGTCAGGCACGTTGCGTGAGCTTGTGTCTCGCCGGTGTCGACGCCACTGCTGGACCGACGCTGTGACACCTGTACAGTTGTCCTCCCATTGCGGGCACCAGCTGTGCGCTTGTGAGTGCAGGAAGTTCGTACGTCTGGTTCACCGGCGTGGTGTGATCAGTCTCGGGCTCCTCAAGCGGCCAGTTCTAGACACTGAGACGCAGGCGCGTACGCTCATGTCGGTCCGCCGACTTCTTCCGCTGGCTACTGTTGAGACCTCTCCGTTAGTCGTTGGTCCAACAGCTGACGTCGGTGCAGCATTACAGGCATCGCATGAGACTATACATCCTGTCGACCGCGAGACTGCTACTGCTGGTTCCGAGAGCTGTGAAGAGCGTTCCGCTTTGCAACTCAGGCTTGTGTGAGGCATCTACGTACCTTCTACGATCGGCCTTACTGCCTACACGGTCGTTTTCCGGCGGACTCGGTTGCGTCGAACTGGAGTCGTTTTCGCTGTAGGCGGAAGACGACAGGTCAGCTACGGACCTGCCAGAGATCGGAAAAGTTGCGAAGTATGTCGCCGCGTACTACACCACGCCAATGGGCCACGCTACTTTGCCACCCATCTTCCAGTGGTAGGGGTCTTTGTGAGTGCCCTCGCTGGGGCACCGAGACACTCGCCCGCTCCTTTTCGGCGTTGTCGGAGGTGGAAGCGAGCCGTCTCCACAGCGTGGCGGGAACACTGCGCCACGGGGTCCTTTAGCTACAGTCTGTGGGGCTTGACCGTGAAACGTCCTAAAACTACTAGTTAGGAACAAGCAACTCGGCGCACTTTTCCCGAGCCTCCACCCTGTCCACGAGGACAGTGACTTCGCGACCGCTGCTCATACNTTATTCAGCTCGGGACGCCCTGAACGCGAGCCGAGGGCGTCCAAAAATATTTTTCGTCATTTCAAGCGATAAAAACTCTCGATCTTCTCTCGAATTATTAATATTTTTGGACGCCCTCGGCTCGCGTTCAGGGCGTCCCGAGCTGAATAAGGGTGTCAAATGACGGCAAGACGCCCCCCTGGCGGAAACACTGGGACTCTCAGATATAAACAAATACATAAAAACATGTCTATGATGTGTTTTTCTCAAAATCTCAAATGCATTTTAGACATCCCTCATATCCCTCTATTGCAGCCCTGTTAGAGAAACGCAGATGTTGGGTCCTTAGCTTGAAGAACAAAAAAGAGGAGGCGGAGCTAATGCCTGACCAAAATTCTCCCGGAGATAAAGTTAAATTATGCTGTGATAAAACGCCATCATGTTCTAAACCACATCAAGGATTATTTCTGAAGCAGTATGGAGCTCAAATAATTTTTCTCTTGCGGGTTTATCACAAGGTGAGTTCCTTTTCTGTGCTCTACAGTACAGGTTAGCTCTGAGTGTTAGCGAGGCTTGCTAATGTAAAAAAATACCATATTACGTCCAAAACACGTGAGGCATT